CTTCAGCCTCGAGCGCGGCACCGCGTTCAAGCCATTGTTTGAGGGGGGGCCGCGGGATTTTCATCGGGAAACGGCTCCCCCGATAGGCATGTGAGACGCTTGCTCCAACAATGAGCCGGAGGACATGCACGAGGAGGAGGGCGACCAGGCGAAGGCGGATGTGGAGGACGAGGCGGTTGAGATGGATCAGGGTGGCGGCGTGGACGCCGAGGAGGAGGAGGAGGCGGACAAGAGGGCCTGGGGAGGCGAAGGAGATACAACGAGATGGCGGGCGAAGTGGAGATGGCGATGGAGGCGAAGGAGGTGCAGGACACCAGCGCCGACACCGTCGCCTGCGCCACCGCCCCCGCCAGCCTCGAGACACGGCACCACGTTCAAGCCATTGTCCGAGGGGTGAGCGCGGAATTTTCAATGGGAAACGGTCCCCCCCGATAGGCATGCCAGACGGCGTCGAGGACGAGGGCCCCAGGAACCGAAAGCGTGCGCCTCGGGTATTGGATTTTCGATTGAGGGCCTCGACCAGCCCGCCTGACTACTTGGACGTCGCCCCCCACGAGAAGCCTCCATCTCGGCACGCCCGCATACGCGACAGACAACGCACAGCGGCAGCCTCCGCGGAGCCCAGCGACGCTTCTTCCCCACCAAGACCTCGGATAATGATTCGAGGATCCAGCGAACGGCCCACCATCATGCAGTCCTTGGGCCTCGTGCAGTAAATGGGCGCGCAACTCTTCTTCGAACCACTCTCGCCGCACAGAAGGAACCAAGATGCTGGCGCGCCCAAAATACGTTGGAATTTCCTCTCGTACCCATCATACTATCATCATCCCTAGGAACGACTCCCTCCCGGGACACCTCTCGCCCAACCTTCGCCACCCTCATGGCACGCTCTCTTCCCGCATCTGGCTTGCCTTCTCTCCACCCCGCCTAACCTTCTCAGTCCCCACTCGTGTGGTGGAGGGGATGGGTCGGGCACCGACCTGGGATGATGGGAGCTCAGGCCACAGCCTGCCCCTGGCTAGGGCCAGGGTGGCCGTCGCCCCAAGGACTGTCGAGCCCACATTCAAATACAGACTTCGACGTATGCTGTGGGAAACCCGAGCTGGCCAGGAAGACGTCACGGCATCTAATCCCCGCACGCGTAGCAAGCATTAGCATTAAGCTTGAGGCATTCATCCAACCTCCATGGTCCCCGCAAACAATGTAAGCCCCATATGCGGGATCTAGGTCGCTCGATGCAGCGAGAACGCAGCATCCCAACGCACACGGCAAAACCAGAGTTGGCAACATAGCGCCCACTTCACCTCCTCTGCTTTCCTCTGAACACACGTTTTCCACCTATCCTTGCCACCCTGTCTCCTTCGCCAAACTTCGCCCTGGTTCGTGGCCCGTTCCCGACTTGTCCTTTTCACGCCTCGCCTGCAACCCCGTCCCATTTCACAAGTTACCGTCTTGCTTGCCGCCCCTCCCCATGTCACAATCAAAGCGCGAAGAACGTTCGCGCGCCAAAGCCTGCGCGCCCAACTCGGCACCGCAATCTTGCGCCACGCCCCTGGAGCGTCTCACGCGTGACGGAACTACGGGTCACGAATGTTGAACGGCGCCGCGACGGGCCCAAAGGTCACGAATGTCGCCGCCAGCCGTCGTGCAATCGCCAGTCCCAATCAAGTAGCCGACCTCCCCGCCCTCTACTCCACGATGAGGGATTGGAGTTGTGTGCGGGCGGTCTCGTGGGGAGGATCACTCGAGGGCCACAGCGCGCACGCCACTGCTGCTGGCCTCTTGCCGCTTGTGTCCAAGCGCTCAAAAGCTGCGCGGCGCCTATCCGCGAACCGCCTGGGTGACGGATCGGGATGCGGGGGCTGACGAGTCGCAGGAGGTCGAACACGACGATCCTGTTCTGCCAATTTTTGTACGTCCTCCTGGTGGCACGGCGCCGCTGGGGAGTCGCCCCCCCCCCCCCCCCCAGCAGCGACCGCTGCTGGGGGGAGGGGGGGTGGCGGCGGAGGGGGAGAGGGAACAGGAACGTGAGGAGGAGGAGGCGGAGGAAGAGGACGAATGAAGGGAAGGAGGAGGACGAAGAGGAGAAAGCCGTACAAATGTTGGCTTAAATCCGCAACGAATTTGCTCAAAACCTGGCCCTTTGGCTTGAGGGGAAGAAACGGCTCCCGACAACATCCCTCCTCTGCCAAATCAAACGGGGAGTTCCTTGCTGTGAGCCCCTGTATGGGCGACTTCACCATGACCGTGTGAAGGACTTCCCTGGCCAGCCCGCCATGGCGCCTCCTCCTTCTTCTAAGCCTCCTGGGTCTTGACAGTGTTGGTCGTGCGGGTGCGTAAGAGGTTCTGGAGCTGGTGCAAGCACTGTGGGAAGAGTTGCAAAAACCTCGAACCAATTGACATGTTCGAACTGATGTGTCCCGCAACTAAATACAAAAGGGGGCGGGAACAAGGGGTTAAGACAACGCCTTCTCCGATAGGAGCCATGCTTCCGCTGTTT